GGTCCCAGCGGCGCGCACCGCGCGGGCGACCGGGGCTCGGCTAAAGACCCGGGCAGCTGCAGGCTGGAGTACGGCCCCGCCAGCCGCCGTGAGTCATAGCCTTGGAATCCCACCTTGGCGTGTATTTCCCATAGAAGGAAACTTGGTTTTTAGAAGGAGAGCGAATAATCATAGCCCTTATTCTTCAGGAGAGGCACTGGGCTTCGGTACCTTGGAAGACTACTTGCCTTTGTTCCCAGACACTTGGGCTGTGTACTTTTCCCTGCGGCCTGCGGCTGGCCGGACCGTGCCCTCTGTCCCGGAAAGGGGCTTAAGGGCATGGCACCAGTCTCCAGGGTGCGTCTGTGTAAGACCCTGGGTAAGGGACCCGTCACACCCTAGCACCCCATCTTGATCCTGGAATGAGAAAGCCAACCCTAAAGCTCCCAATGGGGAACCGCTAACCGCCCTGGTCCCCCCACACCTGCGTTCCCAGCCCCAATACCGGACCTAGAGCTCTTAGCCTCCCGGGACCGCGGCTTGCCAATGCACTTCCCAGAGCACCACAGGGACCTGCAAAAAGCAGGGTTTTGTTGTAATTACCCAACCCCTACCTCCACCATTGGGCGAAGCAGACAAACTGTTAAGATCCTGTCTGGGACCGTTTGGAGTCCGTGGGTGAGGAAGTCTTTTGGATCCCCAGGACAGAGCTCTGCAGTTCTCTAGACCTGCCTGGATCTCAGCGGTTTCTTCATGCTATCCAGGCTTGAACTCTGTCTTCCAGCTGCCTAGAGGCTCCTTTATAAAACGTTCTGTAATTCCCAGTGTCAGGAAGAAGAGGGATGATCCTTCTGTCGTGCTGTTTTATGTCCAGTAGCCCCTGTTAGTTTCCTGGCACCTCCTTGAGCACCGTGATGGCTTTATCTGGAAAAGTCAAACGGTATAGACATGCATGTATGAGGAGCATTCGGTGAAAACGCTGACACTTGGCCTTCAGCCTTGTCGAGGGTACTGAGGGTCATCCCCCAGCATCACCCCAGTGATCAAACAGTGGCACAGCAGCCTGAGGGCTACAAGTTAGTGCATTAACACTCTCATTTTTAATCCACTCATTTCTGATCTTGAAACAAAATCTCTGTCATATACATCATTGTGGCTGTATTTCTATGAACAATACGAACTTGTGAACTTGAATTTCTGGGTTCCATAGCAGAAGACCCAAGCTAAACATGGGTGCCTAGTACTCTACAGCCCAGTGTCTCATGAACACTACGCTTGCCTCCCTAATTGGTTAGCATCAGTGTGAGTTCTAAATAGACCAAGAAGGCTCAATTGCAGACTCTCCTCCCCCTCCCAAGTCGTCCCAGCTCATTCATGTTTTATTCCAGCTTAAATAAATCACTTGCAGAACCCAGCCTCTCCCATTTAGGATCTCGTGTGTAACAGTTTCTAATTTGAAAAAGAAAAACTTGCTGAAATTAGATGTTATAAACAAAAGAAGTAGCCACATTAAAAAAAAACTATTATGCCTCATTTCAAGTTCAAATCATAACGATGAAATTTCATATGTTGTGAACAATGCCAGCAAATAGAAGCCCTGAGAGCCTTAACAACAGAAAAGCTGCTCCCCGAGTCATTAGAATACAAACAAACTCTGACTACCGTAAAGCAGCCCAGGGCCCATTAATGTCCTATTAAGCAAAGGTAATTGCTGCCAGGAGCCTGGCAGCTCCTCTGTCTTTAGGGGCATGGGTTTGTCAACCTGCTATTGTTTATATGTAATGAAAGTTCTACCAGGCAAAGGTTTGCATCCTCTTCCCAGACCCCGCCCCAGAAGTGGTGCGAATCTCAAACTGTCGGTTGGAGAAGGTTATCCTTTAGGCTAGGTTAAGAAATTGGACAGCTTTAGGAGCATCTTAGCGAGTCTTTGCTTGGCTGAAGAGTTGGAGTGGGAAGAGACCAAAGGGCTGAGTTTGTTAAATTGATAAAGACAAAATTTCCTTGGTTACTGAAAGAGTAAAATAAATGACATCTTTCACCATTTCTTGATAGAGAGTTATTTTACACACACACACACACACACACACACCCTCCTTCCCTAAGGCATTTCTGATATCCCTTTAGGAAGAAAAATGGAAGAGTAGACTCCAGAGCCCAAGTCAGCTCTACCCCGATTTTACCCCTTGCGTGGAGACCCTGTCTGAGGCTGAATTCGAAAGCACTGATGTCTAGTGAGAGACAAGCTGCTGCCAGTGGCTGCTCTGGGAGCCCGACTTTACCACCTTTCGAAGCTAAGATCTCCACCTCCACCCCCGGAAGTGCACGGGTGTCCTGGCATGTGGGAACTCATACTCTCCAAGGGACAGTGACGGGTCCACCCTTGCCCTAGCCTGAAGGCCAGAGAATGAGCTGGGTTCTTGCTATACCTGAAGGGAAATCCATCTTCAGCAAGCAGGCCTGACAGGTCCTTAAACACAGCTGAGCCGTGCAGGTCTGGATGTCCTACAGCAGTGAATCTCAACCTGTGGGTCGCGACCCCCTTGGCAGTCAGACAGCCTTGTTGAAAGGATCAACTAAGACCATCAGAAAATAGAGACATTTATATCACAGTTCATAACAGTAGCAAAATTACTGTTCCGCAGTAGCAAGGAGATAATTTTATGGTTGCGGGATCACCACAGCCTGAGCAGCTGTGTTATAGGGTCGCAGAGATAGGAAGGCTGAGAACTGCTGTCCTGAAGGAACAGGAATCAGAGGTTCTGGGTCTGCTCCCTGACCTATGGCCCCAGGCTCTTCTGCCTGAAGCATACCGTTGACCCTGTCCTGAGGGTCAACACTGAGCCCCGCGGAAGTGGCCCCGCAGCCTGGATCACACAGGGTCAGAGTCTGGGAGCATCACAGAGCATCAGAGGCCAGGCTGGCTCCCTGCAATCCTGAGGTCAGGGTGGGAACCAGAGAGTAGAGTGTTGACTCTTGGAAAGTTCCTGCCTTGCATCTGGCTTTGCAGTTTAAAGAGTCGCTGGCTGCCTCTGCCCGGAGCCCTGGCTCCTGTTTAATATTCCGCTGCCTGGTTGATGTTGTGCTTGGCTCCTGTGGGACTGCAACTCACGGCTGGAAACTGGAGCCAATTTTCTGTCTTCGTCTCGCAGTGTTTTGACTGGAGGCAGATCCAGTTCAGGCCGATCAGGGCTGTGGAAACAACTACCAAGTGTCTGTCTGCTTCACCCCGGGAGGAGAGAGTGTGGCCAAGGAGCTGGGAAGAGGAGAGCGCTGGGAGGACCCTAGGGACTTCTGCCTTGCCCCCGCCCCCAACTGGTTAGCAGATTTCATCAAAGGGGACTCCTAGGGGCTTGAATAGAAAATTGATTTCACCTTATTAATAGGAGGGAGGCACGGGGTTTCTAGCCCTTCTTCTTAGAGGTACATTTGTAAGGTCGGGAGGAAAATGTGTTTGGGAGGTAGAGCAGCTGTCTGAGGGGCTGAGGGGAATCTGAGAACAATAAGGAGAGGACTCTAAAGACCCGCTCTGAGATGCAGGCTGCCGACTGCAGTGGCTAAACAGAACTGCTAGAGTTTGCCAAGGTGTCCTTGGGAAAAATAATCCGCTGGTTTGGGATGAAGGGAAGGGATGGGAAGGGAAAGCCTCCCAAGCACAGGAAGATGCCAAGACTGCCCTCAGGCTGGCTATGGGGCAGGGCTGTTTGTCAGTTCCGCCCACTCAACCACTCTTCTCTCCCCCCAGATCTAAGGCTGTCAGAGATGACGCTGGTTCTGTCCATGAATAGATTCTGCGAGCCCATTGTCTCAGAAGGAGCTGCTGAAATCGCCGGGTACCAAACACTATGGGAGGCTGACAGCTACCGAGGTGCAAGCCCCCCAGGGCCAGCACAGGTTCCTTTACAGGCAGACCGAGCAGCCAGCCCCCAACTGGCAGGTATTGCCTTTGGCCTTCTCCTTAGGCAGGAGTTGGGGCTGGGCTTCCTTGGGACATCCTACTTAACTTCCTCCGCAGCCCTACCTGCTGTGGGTGTCCTGGAACTTTTGTGGTTTTTAGTTTGTTTGTATTTTAAAGAAACTGAACCAGATACCAAAAGTTTGGGTTCGGGCTTTCTATCCTGTGGAAATGAGTGGTCCGGGGGAGGGGGTGTAGAGATCACAGGCTTCGCAGGCAGGGCTCCCTCCCACAAGCATAAAGGAGTCCCTGCCCCTACCACAGCTTCAAGCTGCTCCTTGCCATGGTTGACAAGAAAATAGAAGTATCTTCTTCTGGGCTTTAATTCTAATAGTCTCAAATAAGTTCCTTTGAGTTTTTATGACGAGATAGGTCTTTTTTTTCCTTTAAAAAGAAACTGAAATAAAAAATTCTTGAAAGTCTAGTTTCTGAAAAGGTTTGAGAGTCCTCCAAGGAGGCCTGCTCTATTCCTGGTTGGTGTGTTAGCATTTCCAGAGTGAAATGGAATATAATTACTCCAGGTTTTAAGCGTTAATATATAAGAAAAGCCATTGTAACTCCACGTATGTGCGCGTTTGTTTATTAACCGTGAAAGCGCTTCGTGCCTGTGCTTAGCCACCTGCGTGAGCTGTCTGAGTCCATGCTGGTTCTGCTTCAGATGGGTCCCAGTCCCCGTGGATTTACTGTTTGCCTGTACAGTTAAGATCCCGAACATTTAGCAGATGCTGAATGGTGGGTGACATTTTCCTCTAATGTTGCTTGGAAATCCTTACCTTCGTGGGCTCACAGGATTCGGTCCGCTAGCAACCAAGAAGACAAATGTTTGTTTTTCATCATTGCGTGTACAGGCGAGGATGTAGCCAAGCTATCCACTAGAGGGAAAGGAAATGAAAGTATTTTGCTTGGCGAACCTCTGGCAGGCCGCGTGTCATTTGTCGATCTGATTTATTGCAGGATCGCACTACCGGGGAATTCCAAATCCTGTCGGCGCATCCAAGGTCACATACTTCAAGAGGAAGTACGCCCAAGAGGAGGATCTTCACCCACCCCTCAGCAGCTGCAGCCATAAAGTAGGTTTGAAATAGTTATTTTGTTAACATTTACAATGCCTCCTCACACTTGCTTCAATCGTTCCCAGACATTAAATTGTTCCACCCAAGGTACAGAAGAAGGCCACTTCTTTGTGGGGCTACCTGGGTCAACTCACTCAGGGGGGACCTGACCCAGACAGTTTCCCATCATTTTGTCACCAGCTAAAGTCATCTGCGAGGACGGAACCTCAAGTAAACGCTTCTGTCAGATCAGGCTGCGGGCAAGCCTGTAGGGCATTGTTTTAACTGGTGATTGATGGGGGAGGGTGGTGCCATCTGTGGGCTGTGGGCTGGGGTTCTCTAAGACAGCAGGCTGAGCAAGCCAATAAGCAGCACCGCTCCATGGAGGCCTCAGCTCCTGCCTCCAGGCTCCTGCCCTGTTTGAGTTCCTGTCCTGACTTCTGTCGGTGATGGACTACAGTGTGGAATTGTCAGCCAAACCAGCCCTCTCCTCCCCAAGCTGCTGTGGTCGTGTTTCATCCCAGCAGTGGTCTCTCCGACTAGGACAGGGCCTGTGTTAACTTTTCACAAGTACTTGAAGAAAGAACCAGAAAGAGATTCTCCGCCCAGAAATAATTAGAGTATGCAAGGAAGCTCACATCTTTTTGCCGATGGTTTAATATTCCTGAGCTCCCCCAAGGGCTAGGGCTAGGGCTGCTCTGTGCTATCACTTGTTGGGAGAAATACTCGGCTTTCCTACCCCTAGTCTGAGCTTTGCCCAGGAGGCTGCTGCTGTGTGTTGGTTGGAGTGGTTGTTCAGGGGTTTTCCTGACCTCCTGGGGGTCAGTATATCGTCCTTTGGATGTGTGCGTAGAGCAGGCATGCTGTTTGTGATATATCCTGACACATGTCAAGTTTGTTAAAATTCAGAACTAATTCCCAAGCAAGGACCTGAGATAGCTATTTTCCTTCTCACACAAAGTAAGGAAATAACCCAGCGGGGAGCTTGCATGAGTGAAGAACTGGGCATCTAAGCGTCTGGTTTTTTTTCCTTGGTGGTACCCTCCCTCCAGATCTCCTCTGACCTCATCCATGAGGCTCGGGTAGAGCCCGGTGGGTAGATGCTGATCTCTTCAGTTCAGCTTCCACCCGCTCCCTGGCCCCACCCCCTCCCAGCCTTTAGAAGATGCTTTTGCCTCTTGGTAAGGAGGCACCAGCCTTTATCTCGTTAGTTTCTATGCTGTGTCTGTATCAGCTTTCCAGCTGCTCCTGGGATGTGCCAGATGTGTGGTGCACCCTGTAATCCCAGCTCTTAAAAGGCAGAGCAGGGGGATTGCTGCAAGGGGAGAAAGTTCAGAGCCTACCTGGGCTACCTTGTGCGTTCTGGGGCAGCCTAGGCTACATAGCAAGGCCGTGTTTTATAGTCTCATTTGTTTCTGATTTAACAAAAGCAAATTAACAATAATAACAGTTGCTAATGGGCCATCCTGTTCCCAGTGGCAGCCCCACACAGCCCAGGACTATATCCCCATCTCCAGCTTCTGTCTGCGTCTCTTTCCTGTCAGCTCCACAAGCCAACAGGCCCTAGCTATCCCAGCCTCTTTAACTACAGTTGCCCTCGTAGCAAACATTGTATTGTAGGTATGGAGCCCCAGAAGTGTTCCCTGGTGGAGAACCTGCATCTCGAATCTTTAAAAAACTGGGGTTGAGAAATGGCTCAGCCTTTCAGAGCCCTGGCTGTCTTTGCACGTGAGTTATGTCCCTAGCATCCATCTGGCAGCTCACGACTGACAGTGCCTCCAATTCCAGGGCATCCGTGCCCTTCTTTGGCCTCTTTTGGGTGGGGCCTCACATAGTACACAGACAGACACACTGGCAAACCCTCAAACACATAAAAATAAATTTTCAGCCATAGGGATGGCACAGGCACTCAGCACTCAGATGGCAGAGGCAGGCACATCTCTGAGTTCAGGGTCAGGCTGGTCTACATAGTGAGTTTCAGGACAGCCACGGATATATAATAATGAGGTCCTGTCTCAAAGAAAGTAAAATAATGATAATAATATAAATCTTTTTAAAAAATAGATAATAAATTCAAAACACGCTGCTGTGAAATGCATGAGTGTGCCTCTGCCCAAAGACATGTGAAGCACAGCTTGATACATTTCGACCTGCGCACCCCTTGTCACCAACAGCCAGGTCAACCTGCACCCTGCCTGTGAGGCTCCGGGTCCCCGCCCCCAGCCCCCGCCCCCCAGCCCCCACCCGGGTCCCCGCCCCCCAGCCCCCACAGCGGCTGCCAGCCTGACTTCCGACAGCTCTGCTTCACGGTCTTGGCGTCTCCTTCTCTATGACTTAAAGGACTGAACCTTCTGGCTGGGCCCTGCTGAGGTCCACCCAGTGACTGGATCTTCTTTGGCACGTCAGTGAGTCAGGAAACAGCTGGCGATGGGCCATCCACAGCTGTGGGGCCAGCCTCTAAATGTGTGATGGCATTTTCACACGCATCGTTTCCTAAGCTTTCTCCCATCTCTGATTTTTTTTTTTTTTTTTTTTTTAGACCATCTCCATTTTTGAAGAGCGAGCCCACATCCTTTACATGTCCTTGGAGAAGCTCAGGTTCATTGATGACCCGGAAGTGTACCTGCGGAGATCCGTCCTCATTAACAACCTGATGAAGAGGATCCATGGGGAAATCCTCATGCAGAACAGCTGGTGCCTCCCCGCATGTTCTCTCGGTGGCACCTCCGCCCAAGAGTGGTTCCTGGCTCAAGACTGTCCTTACCGGAAACGGCCCCGGGTGGCCAAAGAGGAGTGGGAGAAAGTCCACACTTGCTGCTTGTACCAGGAGTGTGGCGGTCACTGCCTGAATTTGCCCCTTTCTGTCAATGCCGGTGTTGGAAGCAGTTCTGCTGCTGCCCCGGCTGCATCTCCCTGTATCTCCCCATCCGCCTCCTCCTCCCCATCCTCTTCCTCCTCCCCATCCTCCTCCTCCCCATCTACCTCCTCCTCCTCCTCCTCTTCCTCCTCCCCTCTGCCGTTGCCTAGCTGTTCCCACCATGTGGACTTTGATATAGGCAGCGCCCCCATCTACAAGAGCGACGGCCAAATACCTGCCAATGAAATTTTCGTCACTAACATTAGGTCACTTGGTGTCCAGGAAAAGGCCAAATTCAACGATGGGAAAGTAAGCCAGGACACCAGCAGAGACGGTGACGCCCTTGGCCAAGAACCTCTGGGGAACGACCTTGATTTTGAGTGCAAAGGCCAATTTTACGACTATTTTGAGACTGGATATAATGAGAAAAGCCACATGAGTGAGTCTTGGAAGAAGTCTTTGAGGAGAAAGGGGCTTTCCCCAAGCCCCAAACTGTGCTGCAGCAGAGGGAGTAAGATGTGACCGTTCTCCCGCTGGCACACGCAAGGACGCGCAGCATGACCAGCCTCTGTCTTGAATGGATTTTGTAGTTTTGTACAACTGATAACATTGTGCAGTGAACACGCTGTGTTGTCTCGCTGCCCCGAGAGCAGACTGCACAAAACATCTGTACAGTAGGCCCCAAGTCACCTGTTGATGTGATTTTCTGAGGAAAGCCAACTTTGTGTTTGAAAGTGTATCTTAGTTTTCTTTAAAAAAAAAAAAATTAGTAGATTAGGTTGAGGACAACATGCCCTTGTTCTATTCCCACTGCCCCTCCAAGAAGCCCGCCACTAGTTAAGTTCAGCATGTTTGCCGGTTAATTGGGTAGTTATTTGGCAAACAAATCAATATAACAGCAGAGTTGTCTGCTTCGTCCGTATGATACAGCATTTCCTTCTGAGTGAAAGACTGAAGACAGGAAGATAGATGAAGCGGTTTCGTGAGTTGTGACGTGTTTGTATTGAACAGTGAGACAAAATGACAACACCCGGCAGGTAGCAGTGTAGGAACTGTGGAGACTGTACCTGCGAGCTCCTAGCTTGCCTGTGGTGGGTAATGGGTGACTAGGGAAGAGGTATACGGGGCCGTCTCTGATGGTCTCTGTGGGAAGGAGATATACACGGCCGTCTGATGGGCTCTGTAGGCAGGAGGTGTACACGGCCGTCTCTGATGG